ATCAATGTAAATTATAAATATAAGATATTTACCATATATCCCAAGACTTATCCAACACATAAACTATGTACTTTTTAACTTCCTAGAGAGGTTATCAAACACAGAAACTATGAACTTCTTAAGGAACTTCTAATTTAGAGTTCTTCAAAAACTTCTAACTTACAGTTCATGAACTTGTTTCCAGTTATCAAACACGCCCTTAGTGTCCTTTGATTGAGAACTCACAGGATGTGTCTTAAAGATAACATCTTTGTGACGTACACCAAGAAGCACAGTGACACCCCATCCCCGATAACAAAGACAACAGTAATATGCATCAATCTTTATAGTTCAAGTGCCATCCATCGAAATTTGATGTATATGCTCGCCTCTCTCTCTCTCTCTCTCTGTCACAAATACACACAATAGATATCATGGGAGCCCAATTCATAGGAGATGGGCAACATATATCATGAATACATTTGAATGCAGCAATCATAGCATCAATATTCTCAGTGCATTCAACACTACGGTCCACTCCACCAGTAGTCGTCTCTGCAATTACCTATCGACATCCAAATAACAGTTCAACTCTTAATAGTTCCAACTGTAAGGAAAATTTAAAAAGATCCTCCGTGAGTGCCCAATACATGAGCCGACTGAATAATCTGAAAAACTTGAAGAAGATATAATCCTTAATCATAATTGTGTGAGGAGTTCAAATTAAACAAGGTATCAAGTAAACGATTGTGTTGAGGAGGGTACCTGTTGCACTGATCGATCATAGTCATTCGGATTCACAAACTCAGTAACGCCAAACTTCTTTGCTGTATAACAAAAGAGTAAGTGGTGATAGAGAAAACAGAAACATGGCCAAGAAAATCCATCACAGTCTTAATTTATACTGTTTATCTCCTTCATGAAATCTTCTAGGGTTCACATCAATACCAATTATTCTTGAGGCACCTGCAATTGTTGCCCCTTTAGCAGCATACAAGCAACAACAATTCAGACAAAAAATGAGAGACAGAGAGCATACAGCACCCAGTCCAAAAACAGCCACTGATGATCCTCTGGGAGGTTTTGCAACATTCAAAGTTGCACCTAGACCTGGCCATGGGAAAAGGAGCACAAACCCTCGAGATCACAAATCTCAGATGCATAAACATCCATCTAGCAAGAAATAGAAGACCCCAGTATGAAAACACCCAAGACAATAGAGAACTAAATTTACCAGTCAAATGCCACAGGTAGGAACACAGACTTTATCAAGAGGTGCACGGGGATTGATCTTTGCCACACATCCTACATGGACAACTGTGTACTCCCTGAAGGTTGAAGTTCCAACAAAGTGGTGAATTGGCCTCCCATTAATTGAAAATTGTGATTTTCCATCGTTAAGCATCACTCCTCGGTCAGTGTTGATTCGGAGAATGTCACACATGTTGCTTTCCTCGGATTTGCAGTGAGCACACTTTTTGCATTCACCAGTAAAGACAGGAAGGACATGGTCCCCTGGCTTTAGCTCTGTCACACCTTCACCAACACTCTCCACAACCCTGAAAGTCGCCGAACACACCAAAGTTCAAATATATTATAACCAAAACCACAGTGATATCAAACCATAAAAAATACTTTCTCCTCTCTGAACTTTACTGCCCTTGTGCCTGAGTCACTAAGTTTAGAGACCAGACCCAAAGAACATAATAACCGACAATTTTACTTGGACATGATACATTATAACTTATAAGAATTGAGTATGAAGCGGAAAAATGGCAAATCTGAATAGCATGAATTTTTTATTGATCAGCTAGGTGAAAAAACAGACTGGAATGAAATAACACCTGATTTCTTTGTATTTATTTTTTCGCTCTTTGAATGGGTATATAGGCTAAAATATGACTCGAACATACTAGAAACCATATAATATACAGTTGGGGAATGGGGCTACCTTGGTTGCTATGACAGAAGTGTTAAAAAGAATTGAATATCACAGTTGACTATGGTCAACAGAAACATAAATATATTATGGAAATGTACAAGATTTGAGGACATGTGGCTACAAATATACAACTACGCTCTATGACTTCAGTAACGTTTTTTTGGGAATCAGGTGAAATAGGCAGAAAAAAGCAGAGGACAATTGAATGTTTCAGAAACACAAAGCAGCAACAGTATGCAGGCAACTAATTGTGAATTTGAATTAATTTAAACTAATTTCCAAGAGATCTGCTGAGCAAATAAAGTTACTTTTCCATCAAAGTGAATAGAAAGGTGAAACACTGAATGAAGAGAAGATTATTTTAGGCACAGCGATTCATGGATTTTATCCCAACGATTCTCATCTTGAATTGGAAAACCAAGTCAACACGAAAGCTTTCCTTTGCTCCAACATTTTTCAAAAATCAAATGAAGTAAATAGGTCAAATGAAGGAAAAAAATGAAGGCAATGTGAGAAATTAAGAACATACCCGCCTGCTTCATGGCCGAATATGCGAGGGAACAATGGCTTTTGCCCCTGGAAACATACAAAAAAAAAAAAATCACCTTCAAACTTAAACGCAATTGAGTGATCAAATTCCTCACACCTCATTATAATCAAAGAATGTAAGATAAAATATAGAAAATGAAAGTTTTAAATGAAATGACAGAAGATGTAAAGAGTTTTGAATGGAGATATATGTATACCTTGGCCTCCCAGAAATCGACATCAGTGTGGCAAAGAGAAGTGAATAGGATCTTGAGCCTGACTTCCATGGCCTGAGGAGGAGCCACCTCCACCTCCTCTATCACCAATGGCTTCCCCGCTTCCCATGCAACAGCAGCTGCAACTCCCACTAATTACAAAACAATAATCCAGAAGACCAATATCCAGAACTCATTCACATATGTGCCATTCTGCAAACTTTCGATTTGGAAAACTCAGTGAACAAAATGGGAAACTCTATACAGAGCAAGAAGAAGAAACTCTGAAATGAAAAAAGCGGAGGCAGGGGAAAGTGAAGCTATCTTTGCACCTTATCACTTGACCAGCAGTGCCACCCATTTCTAAACTGATATGGAATTATGGATACACATATTGAAACCAAAACCAAACACAAACTCTCTCTCTCTCTCCCAGCTGAAATTTGCTGTAAAAACTCTGATGATTTGGGTCTGATTTTTTGTGGATGTATATATAGGTGACATGGAGAATAAACAAATAGAGACTTGAGAGAAATCTCTTGCACTGTGTGCTTGAGAGAGAGAGAGTTGACACCGCTCATCAGAATCCCTGGTTTTTTGATGCGGCGGAACTGGTTTTGTGAGCCGGTTTGTGAAACTCATGAGGTTTGGTTGTTAAAGAGTAAACCATTTGTACCATGAGAGTTGTTTTATGAAAACATAAATCATATGCCATTCCCATGGAGCATATTATTTATTTAATCTCTCAGGTAAAAACTTAGCTTAAGAGCGGCTTTTAAGATTCCAAATTTTAAGATATAACCTTTTACACTTAGCAACTAATCCCATTAAACAAAAAAAAAATCACATATTGAAAAGAATAATATATTAAAATTGAACAAGGAGGGTTCAGTTTTTGCGAGGCAAGAGTATTGACTAGCCCAAATTTAAAATTTTTATTGTTGAAAATAATCTTCTTGACATTTTTAGGTGATCCCTAAATTTTAAATTAGAAATATACTCCAAGTAGCGCATTTACCCGAGGGAGTTAATGTACAGTTCGGTCCTATAGATGCATGCATATAGGCGCTGGAAAATAGAGACGGTTCATTATCAACGAGTCTGCTCCAAAAGTTTATAATAAGAGAGAATGTTTTCTCCAGGTTTATCTCGGGAGATGCTTTTGGCACCGGTTCTTTTGGTAACGTTAACTGAAAAGAGAGCCACGGTACGAGCTTCTTTATCTGTAGTGCGGAAACATTGAAAATATCATTGGGAACAGTAGGCCCTTTCCACAGCCTATTCGCAAAACCATAGCCAATTCTTTCCCGTGGTTTTAGAAACAGGAAACTAAGTCGTTGTAAATAGAAGAATGTGCCTTGCGATAAGTAAGCATATCATTCTTAAGGAGTTTAGGAAAATTACATATCTATTCATTATAGTTTTTGTTATTGCGGTTCTACTAAATAGTTTATGTTATTATTACTATGTTTGGCTTTTTATGTCAAAATAAAAATTTAAAACAAAAAATTGACTTTACCTTTTTTCAATTGTTGAACAACCGAATTCAAAATATTTTGGGTTGTTCAACAATCGAAAATACACTAATTTTGGTTCTTCAAGAACCGAAAAATGTTTTCTCTCTCTTATGGTGTATTTTCTCTACCTCTCTCAAGTCATAGCTATTCGATAAAATCAAAAGGGAACCATTAGTTTGAGCCCCTAAATTTAGGATAAATCATAGAGATTATGAGATAGATTAGGAGAAATCTTGTAGTATATTATCTCTCTACCTCTTTGAAGTCATGGTTATCCGATAAAATCAAGGGGGAAGAGCTAGTTTGATCCCCTAAATTTAGGAAAAATCTTAGTGATTATGGACATACCCAAAAAAAAGACGCTACGTGAAGGGGAGAGAGAGTTTATAAAAAAAACAAAAATTTTACCCATGTAATATAGAGAGAGAGGTAGAGAGAGGATACGCAGATCAACAAGAGAGAAGAAATTTCGGTTCTAGAAGAACATATTTTTTTTAATTTTTGGTTATTCAATAACCGAAATTGGCTCCGTTTTCGGTTGTTGAACAACCAAAAATACTTCGAATTCGGTTGCTCAACAACAGAAAAAGAGTAAAGTCGTCTTTTTAAAAATTTTCGTTTTGACATGAAAAAAATGGATACAATGATAATAACGGAAACTATTCGTTAAAGCCGTAATAGCAAAAACTATAACAGATATGTATGTAATTTTTTTCAAGAGTTTAATTATCTTATAAAGGCATTAAAGAGCTGAGTGTATTTCATTTTTGGTTTTACATTTTACTTTTGGGAAAATTAGGTGATCCCTTCTAAATAAAATATGTAGCACTAGCAATGGGGCGGGCCAACGTTGGCCTTAGCCCAACACTAGGCCTTAAAGGGTTGGCCCAAGTTCAGCAAAGAAGAACTCGTGTAATCTAGTCGGGGCGTATAACTTTTTTTTTTCTTTTTTTCAATTCTTTTTCTTTTCTTTACGGCCTAGATCACTTACAAGTAGTTCTTTTACAATAAATAATTTCAAATAAAATAAAATAAAAGAATACCATAAGATTTCAAGAACTTGAAGCTATTTAAAACCTTACTTTTCATTAACAAAGAAAACACACAACCTATGCTTGGGAATGAAGAAAGCAATAAACAAATAAGCAAGAAACAGAAGAGGGTGTCGGAGATTACCTCAACCGGGCTTCTTACACCCCACACCGAGTCATCACCTTTTGATGGCACGAGATCTAATGGTCAACCTTCAATCTCAATCAGGAAAACAAGTTTTGGACAAGCCATATCAATGGAACATAAAACCCTTTGATCACAAAACTCAAATCCTTAGGTGAACCCCTTTGATAACCTAATTTGAGAGATAACACTTTCTATAGCTTAAAACCCCTTAAGTTCTTTCACAGTGTAGGATAGAGAGATATCCCAAAGATGAGAGAGTGGAGCATGCTCCTTTGGCTATCTTGAGGGGGAGAGAAACTTTATAAGATGGGAGAGAGAGAGATTTGGCTAGAGTGGGGCATGCCCCCTATGAGAATAATGAGATAGAAAGTTGTGGGTATAGAGATTTGGGTAAGGTACACCCCTTTTTATGATGCTTGAATAGATTTAGGGCTTCTTAGGGTTTTCTTTGACTTGCCACTCATGTGCGATTGAATATACACCATTGATCTTGAGTGACCTGGGGGGTAAGAGATATGAGCCGTCGATTCCATAGATGGGCCATCAATTGTCACTCATGTGTGATTGAATGTGACCTAAGTTGCAATGGTTGGGCATAAGTCCTATTGGGCCTCCCATGAAATATTTGAAATAAATTATTTTTAAAAATTCATAAATCATATTTGAATATTTGAATATTTAAATATTTAAATATATCTATGTTTTTATAAATCCAAATTTGATAAATAAAATATCTATAGATTTAAAAAAATGCAAATAACTATTCTAAAAATCATATATTATCAAAATAAGCAAAATTAAATACTTTGATGGGAAAATGATCTATATGGTAAAGGAATAAATGTGCATTGAGGTACTCCACCTTCATCTGTGAACCACGAATCACACATGCTTTCTCAAACTGATCGAGCGTTGCCCATGACCCACAGTTCATACAGGGGATTATTAATGGGTCACCAAAGTCTAGTCAATAGGCAAAGGGTCATAGTATCAGTCTATGTATTTCAGGTTCTCCCCTAGAGACAAACCAAAGTCGCAGACCTTGATGCAATCTATAATTCGATGATGCATAGGGGTTATCTCTCGCACACATATACGCTTCATCCTGAAAGGTGGTTTGCTTTCTCGAAAATGGCTATCAATGTGCATACTATGTGATAGCACATGGATGAGGCTTTGACCACATCTCTAAAGGCTTCCATCACATACAAGGGTCACACAATCCCTCGGCTCACTCATCCGGGTATATTCCGACATCATCAAATGATGACCCATCATAGTCCTCATTGGTTTAGTTCTCTATATCTAGGTAATATGTGATTTTCCTACGTAGATATACCTAGCATGTTAAACACAGTCCAGTATTAGTAAACTTAGTTTGTTTAGTAAAGTCTACACGAAACCACACTATCACTGAGTTCATGTTTCACTATAAATAATTCATTGACAAGTACTCTTAAGGCTTTTAATGGCTACACACATATAACATCTCCCACTTAGCCTTTGAAGGTCTTACATTATCTCTTTCTCACTATCTCTCATCCCCGTCTCTCTTACATGTTTCACAAAAACATTAGGGGCAACCCCTTTTGTCAAAGGGTCTGTAATCATTAGTTTTGAAGATATATAGCTAATCTCGATCTCTCTCAATCTCACCTCGTTCTGTAGGTGATAGAAGTATGGCTTTATATACTTGGAATTCTTATGGAAACGTGGCTCTTTTGACACACAAATCGACATCATGTTGTTGTAGAAAATCTTTACTGCCTCACAATACATGAGATTAAAGTCAAGTTAATTAAGAAATTTCTTAATCCATACATCTTGTTTTTAGACTTAGAATCTATACCTCCAAGCATAAACACATATCCAGATGCAGAAATCGCATCATCTGGATCCGAGATATAGCTTGCATCCGAATATCCCTCAATTACAATTTTAGTTCCTCCTCCATATGTAAGTGCGTAATCCACAAGCCCTTTCAAATATTTGAGGATTCTCTTAACCGCCTTCCAATGCTCAACATCAGGATTGCATTAGAATCAACTAACCATGCTTATAACGAAAGACAAGTCAGGCCTTGTTCCTATCATGGCGTACATAAGGGATCCCAACGCACTTCTATATGATACACACTCCATGGATTTTATATCTTTATCGTCAGTAGGACACATTTTATTACTTAAATTTGTTTTTTTATCTATTGGGATAGACACGGGCTTACATTTGTCCATCTCGAACTTTTCCAATATTCTCTTACAGGAGGTTGCCGGGGAAAGTTGGATGACTCTCTCTCTTCTGTTTCTTATTATCTTGATGCTCAAGACATATGAAACTTCTCCAAGATCTTTCATATCAAAGTATTGTACAAAAAATATTTTCATTTGTAATCAAGCTACTAACGATTAGCATATCGTCCACATACAAGGAAATAAACACCACATCACTCACAATGTACTTTTGGTAAATACAGTAGTCCTCATCATTTGTGGATAACCCTGCTAGATCTTGAAGTTTTGTGTACCACTGGCACGATGCATGTTTAAGGCTATAGATAGATTTATTAAGTTTGCACACTAGGTTTCCCTTCATATTTTCCTCAAATCCATCGGATTGTTTCATATAAATTTCAAGTTCGAGTTCTCGAAACACACCCTTATCTCTTGCCTCCTCAAAGAGGTCAGTTTGTTTGTGACTCAATATTGCTTCAAGGGACTCTTCTTCGAAGAAGAGAAGATCGCGGCTTTCAATAACAGCCCCGGTTTCAAGGTTATAGAATCGACAACTCTTACCATGGTCAGGGTAGCAAATGAATATGGATTTCACAATTTTAGGTTGAAGCTTAGTTCTATTTTGGTATAAGATTAAGACATAGACTGAGCATCCCCATACTCTAAGGTGGTCACGGGAAGACGTATGATCAGTGAATATTTCATGAGTAAGTGAGAC